AATATCTGACGGCGAAATAACACTCTAACTACTCTTCCATAAGGAGCGCATTACCGAAATGAACACATCTGGCCTGATATAGAGCCCATATTCACCCTTGAATCCATCCACAGACCTCAAGTCGATCCTGATCGCACTAAAATAGGCTAATAACCTTTCAATGGTCCATAATAACTCCTCTTTCGCTCATAACACATAAGAACAACCATCATAACCAGAGTAATCATCCACAGTCCACAACCCAATAAACCGATTGCCCTCCAGGCATCAATTCTCAATCTAATGACATCACCGCAATCTTCATACTTGGTTTAACTCTTCAATCAATCAAGTGACTACATGCCACACTTATACAACCTTCCCGTGGGGCACGCTCCCACCACCTTCCGTAACAGATAACAGGTCCGTACGTCCAAACCACCGGCCGCACTAACGCTGAAAAGCGATCAAGAATCCTTAACCAAGATGCAAAGCCTTTTCCATAAAACACCAATCTCAGGTGACGCTGAAGACAATACCAACTTGCTTTAAACATCGAAACTCCTTTCCTGCTCATCCGAGCTCGTGACATCTTTGTCAACACCGAACTGCAACCTTGATCCTCACTTCAAATTCCATACCACTCACTGCACCCAACACACCAATATACGATAGAATACGATTTTTACAATAACTCCGGAACCACTAATAGATTAACACTTCATCATATAAAAACTTTTTACTTAACTCACTTCAGGAGAACCATAGCAACACACAGGTGAATTCTCATATCCGTAGAATATGCAAATCTCTAAGTAGTGGTCTAAGCTACCATAGCCCTTCCGGAGTCCACCTACGCATAGCAGGCCATAACAGTAGAATACTTTTGAATAACATCAATTACGGCGGCCGACAAGCCTCACACGTACCGCCACAAATCACTTGCATAACTTGATCGCGCTGAAGGAACTGATCACTACCACCAATATGCCAATTCAACTATGGCTAATCAATCTATCTTCTTCCAATTTATCCTTGATTGCCTTAGAAATAATAATAACTCTATCCAACACATAGCATACTCCATCCGCTCTCATCCCGAGTGACCTTGAATCACGAGACCATGTTGTCTCAAACCCCACGAACCATTTCATACCTCCCGAAGGCTACACTGCAAGTCAAAACATCATAAGACATTCTGTGCCCCTTCTCATAAGCATTTACCAAGCTTGATTCTTAACCGTACCTATAGGCTCGAAATCACTAGGCACTATGCTTTGCCCCTTTGAATCCACTAGGACCGTTGCTGAGAGCCACCCAATCTAACTTGGCCCCGAATATAATCAATTCCATAAATCTTCTAGCACATGAATACCCTCGCGACGAAGCACCCAGCAGAATCATTTCCCTTGAAATCCACCTGTACAAGGCATAAATCCTGAATCCTTCCCCAAGTCTGAACATGAGCCAATAAGGCCAACCTTAGCACGCCTCTAACAATTTCTTTGCTCGAATCACTACTTAAGTTCTTTTCGTAGCTGAACTGACCCATCACTATGCTAATAACCAGAAATCTCGCAAGTAGTTAACCAGGCAATCCTTAATCATAGGCGGTGGGCTTCTCCCACTTAGCCTGAAGCCATTATTACACAAATTCTGGAATTCACTAGGATCCTTCATCTCCTGTTGACATAGACTTGCGCAATTAACCGCCAAAATTCTCGGAATCTTTCTGTAAAACCCCCTTTTATACTCTGAATCATCAACCACATTCACATGACCGATCTTTTTGCTGTATAGCCAATAGAATTCTTCGCGGAAGCTTCGCCAACCATGCGACCGCCGATCTGCTCACTGGAGATAACCTTACCGGTGGAATTTATGCGCCGACATCTTCCAACGCTGCTGCACGGGGTACAATCACTACGACATCAATAACCCCTCCTGAGTCCGAGCTCACTCTCTAGCTGCACAAGTCCATTCACGCCTCGTGGACATCAATTAAATGTGCGGCAACATCCTTCCTATTCAAAGTTATGTTGTATCCTCCTTCATTTCATGCAGCTCCTTTCCGTCATATCAAATCTCCTGCCGCATAATAGCCCATACTCCAAAATTTAATCCGTAGACCCCAATCACCAATCACTAAAATTCCCAAATCATTCCAAACTCTCCTTAAGGTACATAGTCATCCTACCGCCAGGCCCATATGCAACTCCGCCACTCTCCCACTTTGGGCAAACTCGCTTCTTTAGTCGACTACTCGACCTTTGCTTCTTATACCTGACCTTCTAGAAGTTTTAACCACCGCCTGACACTCCTCACATGTCCTTCCTTATCCTTTGTTNGCCTTATCAAAGCAAAACTTCAGATATTCTTGCCTGAAGTTTGGCCTGACTTGCAAAGGCAATCACGCAAACTTCAGTTCATAAGCAGGGGCAAACTTCAGTCCAATTGTGTACTTCAGATATTTTTCTATGAACTTCAGTCATTATGATATAAACTTCAGATATTTTGACATAAACTTCAGACATTTGGTTATGAACTTCAGATATTTGGCTAAGACTGTCAAACATATGGGGTATATACTTTAGATACTAAAGTATAAACTTCAGACATTTGAGTTTGAAGTTAGGCGCTGCTATTGGCAAACTTCAAATGCCCAAGTCTGAAGTTTTATTTAATAGTTTCAGTCTGGCGAGTATGCGGGCAGAAGAGAAAGGCAGCACCACCAATGAAACCATGTATTACCAAGAAACGCAAATTCGGAGAGCGAAGATGACGGTTTTATTCTTGCATATTGCCATGAACTAAGAGATACAGTTCAGCGTGAACTCTCAAGATCCTAAACTAGGGAACTCATCAGAAAAGAAGAGGAGGAAGAAAGGAACGCATAGGTCAGGAGGAAGAAGAGGGGGGGGGGCGTCTGAAGTTATTAAAATTAAGGTATAGGTTAAATAATTTTAAAAATATAGACATAGGTTAAATGGCGACCAAATAGGGCACCCGTGCAATTTATACCTTATGGAGTGCATTATTCTGTAATTTTGTCTTTTATTATACCTTTAGATCATGAGACATAATTACCAAAGAGTTGGGAAAAGCACATGCTAGGCTTAAAGTACGTATCAGTACCATATATACACAAGAAGAGAAAGCAAAAAGATAGTCAGATTTTAGAAGTTGCAAGGATCTAGCAAATGCCATGTGACCAGGAGATTATGGGTTCGAGCCGTGGAAACAGCCTCTAGCAGAAATATCGGGTAAGACTGCGTACAATAGACCCTTGTGGTCCGATCCTTCCCAGGACCTCGCACATAACGGAAGCTTAGTGCACTAGGCCGCCTTTTTTTAAAATGGATCTAGCAAATATTCTAGTTTGAGTTTCACAAAAAGAATTAGAGAAAAAGAAAGAAATTTTCGGATAAGAATTTCTCCCGTAGGGATTTTGTATAAGGTGGGAGGAAAGGATAGAGTATCTATTCTTTACCAAGTTGAACAGCATTAAAAAAGTAGTGATGCACCTCCACCTTACTCCTCTCTCTCATTCAAAAAGTCTCACTAACTGCTTTACGTTTGATTCTTTATTCTTCGTTTTTTTTTTCCTTTTTCTCGTTTCCTCTATTTATAGCAATGCTTGAACTGGTTTCAAACAGAATTGTAACCAATGATAACATGACGCGATTTTCATGTATGCTTCATCACGTCATCATGGTTAATTATTTTTAGTACATATTGTATCATTCGCTTCCGTTACTCTGTTATCTTGTTATTGTAATTGTTTGTTGCTTTAATTTCACTGTTCATTGAGTCGAAAATCTACCGAAAACAACTTCTCTATCTTCATAAGGTAAGGGTAAAGTCTGCGTATATATTTGCTCCACTTGTGAATTTACACTGAGCTTCTTGTTGTCGTTGCATGGTTAATTATTGTGTGTTTTTACTTCAGTTTATACTAAACCATGATAAAATGATGTGATTAATTTGATGTAAATATCGGATGTGGAATATTAGTTTCTATTGAAAGACCAACTATATGTTTGGTGCAAGGAGATAAATCTATGATAGTACGTAGCTGGTCCAATATTATCAGGTTCAAAAATGGAAAGCAAAAATCATGTGATAAAAGTGGTGATTGAGGTGGGTTTATCACTATTGGATCCCCATATGTTGTAGAAAATACAGACAGGAATCATGTGATGCAACCTCAGAAGCATCTATCATCAAAGTACAAGGTTAGCATTTCATAGAGAGAAAGAAACAAGCAAAAAAATGGAAAGATTAGAGCTTAACGTAGCCAGGTATTAAGTGCGCCAAAGAATCTAATTTCAGCATTTTCTTAAAACTTTTATAAAAAATTTTACATACTTAAAAGCAACGTAATGAGTGTAATGTATCATATTTTCTATAGTTAAAAACGTCAGAAAATATTTTTATAAAATCACAATCAAAGTAAGAATATTGCAAATTGTTACTATGAACGATTTCTCCAAGTGTTATATAGTTTATCAACGGTTGAAATATCATACCATTGCGGCATCAACCCGATCCCAACATAATACCATCAATAGTCAATATCCATTCATAATGTCTACGATGCCAAAATTCTCATCTTTTCGCAATATTCAACTCCTCAGCTCGTGAATAGATGTATGAAGTAATATAATTAAGAGGCACCCGATCATATCAATATGTGACTTTACTTCCTTTTTTCTTATAACAGTAATGTTCGAACCAATTTGCAACCATAAGTATATCCACTTTTGTCCTTGTAGCTCAGCAGAAGTGCGAAGAATCAAGTTAATGATCGGCCAAAGTGAGTACTTGATGAATCGCAGCACTTTTTAAGTTGAGGTAGTAAAACAAAACTTATCAAATAAACCCGACCTAATTAATCTCTTTTCTAAGTTTTAATTATGAACATTTTAAAACACATACATTGATATCAGGATACCGTCATTTAGCCATCAAGGTTTTATATCTGCCTTGAGAATGATACTGAGAAAATTAAGAATGAGAGGTCGAGGCAAAAAAATCAACTCTCTAGACTTTGATATCATATATTGGTCAAAAATGAAGCAACCCGCAATCAACTGTCAGTGAATAGAAGTTAAACTCTTACCATATACTATATGTTTTCTTGGTGTGCAAATTTAGAAATGGTACTCTCTTGTTAAACCTCTTTCACTGATCCTAAATTTCCTGCTACTCAAAAGAAGCTGCAACATTCCTTTTAACATGCTCCTGGGTAACTCATCCGAAGAGACATAAAGCACGTCGGATCTCTAAAGAACAAAACTGAAACACCACAAATACCAAAGTATGCCATACGAAATGCAATCTGCCAAGTGGGGTGAAAGAAAAAACTATCAATTCCACCGACCTAAGAATACAGCGTAAAGGTGAAAGAAAGGACATGCCTATAAATTCGACGACTATAACAACAGCAGCTGAGACTTGTGATCAATGCCATTAAAGATGAATGTCCCAGACATGGGAATGAATTGTCTAGTGATGAGCTGCAGTAGTCACAACATAATAGACCTCAGTCCAATGGAAAACAGCCATATATATATATATATATATATCCAGTAAAGTAGAAGTTTTGATGAAAAACAAGATTCAAGATCAAAACTGAAGGAGACACAAACCTTGATCACTTCTTGTGATGCAACTCCTCCAACAAAGGCAGCCACAGCATGAAGCTCCGAAGCACCATACCGGCACATCTCATTAATAAGATCCTCTGATAAGGCGGAGCCATTGCAACCGAGATCATTGAGTAGGCCAACAGCTGTAGTTTTCAACCGAGATATATCCTCATCCATCTCACTACCAAGAAATTCTTAAGGTCAGACAACCATATATTAACTTTTCCTCAGAAAATGAGTGTGTTTGGATGAGAAAGCATTGGCCTTTACCCGTCAAATTGGCCAGGAAACTTGTTATAGTTTGCAGCAAACCGGTCAGCTGCTCGAAGAAGAATATAAAGACCCACAGCAGTACTGCCATATAAAGGGAGTATAAAAAGCACCTAATGAAAGACGATTATGCAAAATACCTAATGTTTGAAAGATCAACAACCAACGTATGAATTCAAATGCAAAAATATAAACAGCTCAGCAAAAAGGAAACTTTTTGAGCACCCACTCAGAGTAACATCTGCTCTCTATAAGAATCTAAAACTAAATGAACAAATAAATATACTGCACGATGAATGCACTAGGAAAGTTTTTCTGGACAACTAGCTGCAGACCGAGTAAAAGCAGAAGATTAAGAGTTTCTTCATTACTGGGTTTAAATTAATAGGAGAAAGTAAATGAGGAAATGTTCCCTTTTGGCCCACATGTATTTCATTCAATACGAGACATAAATTAAGAAAAAGGAGGTGGATGGGAAGAGAGATTTAAATTCTAAGTCTCCCTTATACCTAAACAATTGTAAAATCTTTTGTCAAACTCTCCTTGAGATTCATTTTTATCTTTGCATTTCTTTTGTTTTCCTCTAACGTTTATGGAAAGAAAACTGAGAGATAACAGACAGCAACTGTTAACACAACAAACCAGCTTCAAGCATCCCAACTGATACATTGCTCCAAAGGGTGAGTGTCTATCATCATTTCCACTCAGCATAAAATACAATAATTCTAGCCAGCGTTTCTCTGCTTCAACATCCTATTTCACCTTCATCGTGAAAAGCAATTCAAACAAGCTTGGACAATATTACATCCCTAATTTTTCGAACATCTGATACCCAAAAACCAGCAAAAGATTGACTGTCAAATATCTGTTGGCTAAATGGCTTTTTTTCCAGGTCTATCGATAAATATTTGAGAACTCTCTTCCCCCCCCCCCCCCCCCCCCC